AAAACCTCTCCAAAAAATAAACAAACAAACAAAAAACATGCCAGGCATGTGTGTGTGGGTACCTAAAATCCTGAAAGGAGAGAGATGGAGGAGAAGGGATTGCAATGTTACCATCTCCAAGGGGGTGACCACGCTCCATGGGGTGTTTTCTTGGTTTCCCTCTCTGTCTTTTTCTGGTGAACGTAGCTGCCTTTGAAAAATTGAAAAACAAAACCAAAATTCCACCAGAAGGGATGATGAATGGTGGCATAGTGGTGACAGGATGCTCTGTGGGGCTGACCCATGTAGGAAAGTTCTGGGTTTGCATCTGAGTATGCCTAGCACATGCATGCCCATGATCAGTGGCTGGCTGAAGCCGGGGGTGGAACATGGCTTGGCGACCTTGGTGGGGGTTCTTGCCTCTCTGTCTCTTTTTGTGTCTCTCCTACTCACAGAAGAAATAAATAAACAAACTTTAAAAAGTTCCTCTAGGGAGTCTATTGTGCAGTCATGACTGAGAACTACAGCCAAATTAATGTGCCTCTAGTTGTAAGCGTAGCTAACACTGAATGTTTATTAGGAGCAGGTGCTGAGCTAAGGGCTTTCCACACATTATCTCATTTAATTCTCACAACGACGCTGTCAATTGAGTGTTAGCATTAGGCCATTTTATAGCTAAGGAAACTGACTTTTGGTGAAATTAAATAATATGCTCAAAGTCAGCTTCTAGGGCCAGCCAGTGGCTGGTTAAAGTGGCTGTATCCCACATGGCTGGCTGTGCGGTTTGAGTCCCAGGCATGGAGGCTTGAAAAAACATTCTGGGTATGTGTGCATATATGTTCAAAATCCTGAGAGGAGAATGGATTGAGGCGTGACCATCCCCTCTGGGGGGTGCTTGCTCTCTATCTGGTGAGTTTACATGCCCTATAGCAGAGAGGGAGAGAGAGGGAGAGAGGGAGAGAGGGAGTGAGGGAGTGAGGGAGTGAGAGAGAGAGGAGAGAGAGAACAGTCATTCAAACCCAGGCATCTGCTTCTAGAATTTGATGTCACTAGGCTACTTTATTATTATAAACTGAAAAACACTCAGCCTCCTTCTACACTTAACTAGATAAACTGTTTTATCATAGACTATATTTTAAATACAACACGTAAAGTTAGTCACAAGCAATTTCCCCAAGTTTTAACTGATGTATCTTTTCTAGTATAACTGAACCCCTATTTTGAATCAGATTCCTTTCAGACTTTGTCCGCGACTTTGACATATCACAGATATTCTTTGTTCTAGTATCCTTTGAGTTTGTTTTCTGTCTTACAGATATTCTCCATCTTAGCCACTGTTTGATTCTGCATATGCTTAGGCTGTTAATATTAATCAAAAGCAAAGGTTTAGCATGATTTTCTTTATTTTAGAGGCAGTATAGCATAATGGTTTTGTAAGTGGGCTATGAAAATGGTTTTCAAGTTTTGTTTTGTTTTGTTTTGTTTTTGGTATAGCCATCTCTCTACAGAGAGAGGGAAAATGAAAGAGCACCCCTTCAAGGGGATGGCCGTGTAACTATCTCTTCTTTATTCTCCTCTTGAGATTTTGGGCATGCACACCACATGCCCAGTGTGTTTTCAAGCCACCAGGTTTAGGACTCAAACCTCACAGTAAGCATATGAGATCCAGCCACCTTAACCACCATGCCACTGGGTGGCTTCACTTTTAATTCTGGCTCTGTCACTTGTACCCTAAGTACTCAAGAGGTATCAGCTAGTCTTCCAGCATTTAGAAAGTATTTTGCCAGAGAGGGACAGGGTAAAAGCACCCCCATGGTACATGATCATGCCACAAACCCTTCTCCTCCATTTCTCCATCCATTTGGGATCCTGGGCATGCATGCATCTATGCATGCACACGTGCTTGGTGTTTTTCTCAGGCTGTTAGCTTCAGGATTCAAACTATGGAGTTGGCTGTATGAGAACCAGTTCCCTAACCACTGGGTCACAGGGTCAGCTTCTTCTAACATTAAAAACATTTAAAAAAATAATTATTTTATTTTTATTTAGTTTTATGTATTTATTATTATTTTTCACTTTATCCAGAGAGATAGAGAGAAAGCAAGTCACCAGGTCTGGGACTCGAGCCATGGTCAGCCATGTGGGAGTCCAACACGTTTACTACCATGCCACCTGCTGGCCCCCAACTCTTCTACCATGTTGATCTAATGCAATGTGCAATGTGTTCGATTCTGACTCCCTCATGTATTCTCTCTTCATGCAGTGGGAGCAAATAAATAATACTCTAAAGTATCTTTAAATAGCAATCAGAACTTTATTACCACCATCACTATAATATTGTAATAGCTGACATTAATTGAGAGCTTACTATGTGTTTTTTTAGAATTACTTTGAACTTCATTTATTATAATTATTTTTATTTATTTATTTATTTTTGTGATTTTTTTTTTTTTTTTTTTGTTATAGGGCGCGTGCGCTTGCCAGAGACAGAGAGAGACAAAGAGACAGAAAGCGAGAAATCACCCCCCGGGCGGATGGCCACGCCGCAATCCCTTCTCCTCCATTCTCCTCTCGGGATCTTGGGCACGCACGCACATGCACCTGGTGTGCCACCGGGTCTGGGACGTGAACTGCAGACAACTACATGGGAGTCCAGCGACATAGCCATTATGCTAACTGCTGGTCCCTTTTATTATTATTTTTAAATTTGATCAGAGAGAGACATAGAGAGAAGAAATGGGAAAGGGAGAGGGGGAGAGAGAGAGAGAGAAAGAGAGAGAGAAAGTGAGAAAGCAAGCTATCAGGTCCGGGACTCAAACCACAGTCGGCCATGTGAGAGTCCAGTGCCTTAACCACCATGCCACCTGCTGGCCCCATTATGTATTCTTAATTTTTTCTTTTTTTTGTAGTAATAACCCTGTAAAGCAAATGCTATTTTTTATCTGTAATTTATAGATATAGAAATTGAGGCTCAGAGAGGTTAAGTAACTTTGCCAAGATCACATAGGTAATAAGTAGTAGGGACAGGTTTTGACTTTACAATCTGCACTCTATACTACTTTAAAAATATTGCTTTATTATACCATATTGCCTCCAGTAGAAAATTGCACTGCCATGTATTTTTTCAAATCAGAAAAAGTAATTTCCCCAAACTTCCAAAGCAATAGTTCTTAGGCTTTCAGAATTCATAGGGTATTAAAATTAAAAAAAGATCCTGGCAACCAATGCAGACTTGTCCTTCAAGTTTTGACAAGAAAGGACTTTAGAAAGCAAATACCCCTCCCCCATCATCATTTAATATTAACACAAAATAAATTATAATTTAATGCCAAAAAAGGAGAATGGGCACAATCTGGAAAGATAGTATCCTAATACTACATATATTCATATGACATCCTTAAATTTTCCACTTTGCTGAGGACAAAAGTTTTAGAAAAACATTCTCTTTCTACTTCTTTCCTAAATAGAGTCACTTGCATTTAAATAAAAATAACAATTTCAGTGGAAAGAACCTGCATCTTTTGTTATGGAAATGACTAGTTCCATTAAAAATAACTGCTATTTCATAAAGTGGCCAAAGGGCTTGAGAAGTCTTGCTTAAGATCTTCTCAGTCTTGGGATCAGCACACTGTGTAATGATGTGTCTCTGGACTCCCATGTGGTTGACTGCCAGGCGACCTGGATCCCGTGGCTTCCAACTTACGCCGGGCGTGTGTGCCTATGATCATGAGAGGAGAATGGAGGAGAAAGAATTGTGGTGTGGCCATACCCCCAGGAGGTGATATTTCTTGCTTTATGTCTCTCTGTCTCTCAGGTAAGCGCACATACCCTATAGCAAAAATCTCTCTTAGAAAACACACGCACACACAACCTCAGTCTACAGTTTGAAAGATGAAATAAACAATTTAGAACTAGCACTTTTTTCATTCCAATACGTTACATACTATTGGATTGTCAGAAAAGTCATGATGTTTTTTTTTTCTATGTTATTTCACACAAAAATGCATCATGACTTTTCTGACAACCCAATAATTATACTATTGAAAACTGAAGGAACACTTAAGTTAAAACCTTCAAGTTTTTAATAGTCAGTCACAGTGTACTAAGAGTTTATGTCTCTTGTACCTTTGATTCTCTCCCTACTTTAAATGGCTCAGCGTTTTCTTTCTTTATTTTTAGAGAAATTCTTGCTACAGGGTCCGTGCGTTCGCCAAAGAGACAGACAGAAAGCGAGAAATCACCCCCCGGGGGGGATGGCCACGCCGCAATCCCTTCTCCATTTTCCTCTGGATTTTGGGTCCACATGCATTTATGTAACCAGGGTGGTTTTAATGTGGTCTACTACATGGGGGTCTAACAATGTAACCATTACGCCAGCGAGAAATCACCCCCCGGGGGGGATGGCCACGCCGCAATCCCTTCTCCATTTTCCTCTGGATTTTGGGTCCACATGCATTTATGTAACCAGGGTGGTTTTAATGTGGTCTACTACATGGGGGTCTAACAATGTAACCATTACGCCACCTGGTGGTTCTGTAAATGGCTTAGTGTTTTCAACAGGGTGCCCCACGAGCGGAAATCTACATGCACATGGGCCTCATTAATTTTTTTTTTTAAAGAATAATTTTATTTAACTTTATTTATTTAAATTTGACCAGAGAAGGACAGAGCGAGAGCGAGAGTGAGAGAGAGAGAGAGGGAAAATGAAAAAGCAAGCTGACAGGTCAGGGACTTGATACACAGTAGACCATGTGGGAGTCCAGGGTCCTTAACCACCACTCTACCTGGCAGCCCATCCATCTGCATTTTGAACTTGACCACAAACATGAATTATGTATACATGGAAAAATAATTGGAAACAACTTCCTTATCATTAATAGCCTATTTGATGCCTATTTCATATTATAACTAGGTAGATTAGAATATCTCATGACTAAAATAAATTATACTTAGCTTAAATTTCTTTTATGCTATATCTTTAACTAAGTATGAAGACCTCTCCAACTTAAAATTTCACCCACCGCTCTGTTTGGCTGCCAGTCTCTTATCTCTCTCTTCAGCAATGGTGAGCAGATACTTGTTCCTCGGGAAAGAGAAATCTGTGGCTTGTTGCCTTTGCCAATAAAACGTTGGAGGGCCGAGTGGCAAAGCTGTTGCCGTTGGCATCTTTCACGTGAACCATATCAAAAGAGCCAAGATGTCTCTCTCTGTTGGTGATCACACCAATTCTTCCCATTAGCACCTCCAGTCACCATACAGAGGTTACCAGTGTCGAACTTGATGAAATCAGTAATCCTGCCAGTCTCCAAATCAACCTGCATCACCTTGATGAGAGGATCTGGGTAGCAGATGGTACAAGCATCGTGAGTTACCAGATGAGGGATTCTTTTTGTGCCCACAAAGAATTTTCTCACTTTGCACAACTTGTTCTTGGCCTCCTCAGGGGTAATATGATGGATAGCAAAAAGACCCTTAGTGTCATAGATCAGACGGAAATTCTCTCTGGTCTTGATGACATGCATAAAGCCAGCGAGGTAGGTTATGTCAGTACGGACTTTGTCATCAATCTTAATGAATCACTGCATGCAGATCTTTTTTACTTCATTTCCTGTTAAAGCATACTTGTCTGTTCCTTAGGAAAATGGTGAGACGAAGACATTCCTTTAGCTTGTGGGGACCAGTGAATGGACAAGGAGCAAACACACTGGTCAATTTACTTAGCATCCAATGCTGGAGCTGTTACCTGCTTCAAATGCTTCTTAGAGCCACGAGCCATGGCTGTGCTAGGAACAAAAAGAGAGCTCAGCTTAAATTTTTTACTTATTTACTTTTAGCCACTGCATATCATTACAGTATACCAAATGAATTTTGCCATTCAGCTTTAAGTAGAATTCCTAATTGATTCAACTCTATTAGCTTGACCCCTGGTGGTAGTCTATTAATAACATAAAAGGCCAGTGGTTTGCTCCTAATAAATTAGCTACTTCAGATTAAATATCAGAGTCCCTTTCTAAATATCTTTTGATGACACACTCTAGTGTACCCAGCAGATTGAATGCCTGGGCTCTAAGTACTGTTTTCAAACTAGGTATTATCGTCCCTTGAGACCTGCAAGTAAATTATAAAGATAAAAGAAAAATAACTTAGAGCACCAAATTACATCTTATTGGTACTGGCCATACTAGCCCAGGATCCTGCTCCTTCACAGTTCTGGAATCTTCACTCATTGACTCAAGGCAAACAAAGAGAAGGCGATATTCTCTTTATTAACCCGTCTAGTATTTTGTTTCGGGGACGGTGATAGAGACTTAAAAAAACAAAAACAAAAACAAAAACCTTTCTCCTATTTTGGGAATTTCTACCTTTCGTAAAAATATTATAGGAGACTCTTATGGACACATGTTGCAACGGCAGGCGCTGTCTGTGTGGCTGGAGTGAGACAGACGGAGCAAAAGAATGACTATTTCGTTGTACTTGAGTGCGGAAGTAGACATGGCGTGTGGACAAAGCCCTAAGGCCGAAGAATCCCGGAGAACAGAAGAACAGAATGTAAACTCTCGTTTCTGATCAACGCGCGTGTGGACTTCGGATCTGAGACAATAATCACTCCACAAGGGGTACGGCGAACACAGACACCACCAATGAAAACAGGACCCTCGCCCTAAAGGAACCCAGATCGGGCTTGATCCGCAGGCGCCGGACGATGACGTGTCCCTGAACACGGCGGTGATTGGTTTAGGAAGAAGGGCGTCGGCCTCCAGTGCGACTCGGAGTCTCAGCCTAAGTCCTCGCGAGAATAGCGGCCTCGGGTGCGGGATGGCAGTGGAGCCGGGCGGAGCTGGCCCGCGGCTCCCCGGGGCGGGCTTTCCCCCCCCAG